GTCCACGGTTTGAGCAGCCCAACAACTGAGCTGCTGATGAGAAAAGTATCCGACGGCCGGCATGGTGGCATCACTTCCTCTCTCCACCCACAGGTCACAGGTGTGTCACAGGTGTGACTCTGTTGGTATTTCAGCTCTAAAGGCGCATGCGCGAAGGGAACATTCAGTGCTTTTAGCACCGCCCTCTGGCGGTCAGTAGGGATGAAATAGAACCAAATTTTTTTTACCAATATTTATGAAAATGACTGAGTTATAGTCATTTTTGTGTTGCCTTATTTCGATCTGCTGTGGCAGCCATTTTGAATTAAATTGACCTCAGTAGTTAATCAGTTGTAGAGATACGTCCAGCGATTACTTTCTGCAAGCTTCGTAAAAATCTGTCCAGTGGTTTATTAGATATTTTGCTAACAGACAGACATAGACATCTTCGTATTTTGCTAATATTAGTAAAATAGGAGCTCTCCTCCTGTACAAACATGTCTTTAACCTCCTGCTGCGTGGCGTCCTTCCTGTGTGCAGAGATTCGGGTGTATGAGAAGGAGGTCATCGTGGTGCCCATCCTCCTGCTTGCCAGCTTCACGGTCACGCTGGTCTTCATTTTGCTGCTCCACTTCTGCCCAGAGAAGGTGGACAAACTCCGACCCCGTTCCCAAAAGGCCAACACCAGGAGGATGCTGCACGGCATCGATGGTACGTGTCTGGACTTGGACTTGTTGTTTGGTTTTAAAAGGTTTGACATGAAGTTTTATCTTGTTTTTTTATGATGGTATTCTAATTAGTTGTCTGAAAAAGTTCAAGAAAATGAACTTTTCACCTGTATTTTTAAAAAATTGTTACAATGTATTGTGCAATTTAACGTTTTGAAAACACAAAACAAAACACATTAGACATTTTGAACCCATTGATTGACCTGTTGATTTTAAAAATATCATTTAATATTTATGTCATCTGTTAATCGGAGGTTGGGTCAAAATAATCTTTTAGGGTTGACAATTTTTCTTCTATTGTTGGTTCTCAAGCTGGAATTAATTCTGACTGAACTGAGCCGGCTCTGCAGTCTGATTTTAGAGTACGATTCTTGTGAGTCACAAAATACTAGTTCAAGCACAAGTATTTTTTTCTTTAATTGAAATATCTGACTTTTATGGTGAGAAATCAAACAAATCTGACGTTTATGAAAAAAACATACTTTGGAGTATTAGTTTGAGCTACAAAATTAAGTAGTCTACTTAAATAAAAAAAAACCCTAAAAGGTTAAATTGATTAGATCCAGATATTGTTTTAAATGATAACACAATTTCTACATCAAGAAAAAATTGTGTGGAATTACTTTTCGCGTTTGTTTATTCAATTTGTAGTTTTTTGACATCACAGGTTCTGAAGCCACATTTGCAACAATGAAAATACTGCAAAATATGGTTTTATAATATAAAATAGCAGAAGTACATTTAAAATGTATTAATCGTTCCGATGAACTTGGGACAAAAGACCCCAGTTATTTTGACCCAAGGGCAACAGGAGGGTTAAAATGAATCCTTTTTCACTTTTAGTCCTCCAAAAATGTTAATTTAATAGTTGTGCAAATCTAAATTTTGTGATGATTAGTAAAAAATATATTACACCACATTTAGTTTTATGCAGAGGTATTCTGTATATCTGAGAAACAAAATAACCAAGTAAAAGTGAAAATAAAGAAAATGACTTTAGTAAAAATGAATTTCACTGACAAGAAAAGTACTTAAGTAAAAGTCCTAACACTGCTCACAATTATCAGGAAAGTAAAAGCACTTTTACACATACTAAGAATGAAGTGTGAAGTTTACTTGATGAACTTATGTCAGCTGGTTCCACTAAAAAGAGTTGTGTAAATTTACTCAACTCTGTTTTGATAGTACGAATACCCAAGTGTACATGACTTGGTTAAGTAAATGTAACAAGTCATTTTTTAGAGTGCATAAACAACTTCTTTTTATGATGAGTTTGGTCATATTTTATTTTGAAATGTCTAACGATGTGTTTAGTTTTAATGTAAAGAAGTAAAAAGGTCATTTTTGTGTTTTAAATGTAACAACATAAAAGTAAAAGTTACGATTTTAAACAATAGTAAAATTACAGAACCCTTAACAGAGGTTACTTAAAGTACTGTAAAGAAGTAAATGTACTTTATACACCACTGGTTTCATGTTTTGGACCAAATCCCCCTGTTCACGAAGAAGAACCAATGTTTGGTTTCACAGAAACCTCTTCAGTTTTTCAGGCAGGTCTTTCTGTCTCATGTTTAAATTCTGGTCTCTGTCTTCAGCCCCACCAGGTATCAATGTACTCGAACATGAAAGCATTGCCTTGGACATGCCCAACTCATACTCCACCTTCCAGCCTGCGAACCCTTTTATTACCAAAACCCTCTCCACGACCACAACCACCTACAATCCTCCACACGACCCCCCAGAGCCCACCAAAAGCAGTTTTGGTCCCATTGTCCAGCCTAGAGAGCTGCCCCGCCAGAGGCTGCCTGAATCCTTCAACTTGGTGACCCCTCTGCCCACCACCTTCTCCCTGCGCCCTGACTCCTCTGTGTCCCTCTACAGGGCGCGCATGGAAAACAGGAATGTGGTCCTGCGGGTCCTGAATGGTATAAAAAATCTTTGATTGACTTTTCTTATTAGATCTTTGAAGTCGGAGCTTGATCATCTCCATCTTCTCTGCAGACTCGGCTGATGCCACAGAGAGACACAGCTTCCTGGGCTTTGCATCTTTCCTGTCCCAGCTGGGACCCCATCCTTTCCTGCCAGAACTGCTGGGAGTGGTCTCGCTCCGAGCCCCTCTGGTCACGGTGGTGGAGGAGTTGGAGAACAGGGACCTGCTCAGCTACCTGTGGAGATGCAGACAGGTGAAGACCCGCAGCTCTGCAGTGAACTTCAAGCTTTAAAATATAAAGTTTAAAGCAGAAGAAAAGGTTCTTCTGTCCAAATGTGGATCTTTTCAACATCTGTTTGTTTCTTTTCAGAACAACGTGGATCCTCCCTGTGAGATGACAGAGAGAACTTTATTCACCATGGCCAAACATGTGGCCTCCGCTCTGGTTTGTACACTTTTTACACTGCAGACACCTGAATGATGCATCAATGTGTGAATGTTGCTTCAGCTTCATCTCTGTTGTTTTCCTCTTAGTTATTTTGTAATCGAAATACTTCTGCAGCTCAATCAGGAAATGGGTGCTACGACTGTTGATTGTTAAATTTACACTTTACTTAAAAGTATGTCCCTATAGAAACACATTGAAATATTATAAATTCTAAAAAATTAGCTCCTTTTAGCTCCTGTTCTGCCACATTCAGGTAGCCTTTTGCTTATTATTAGCGGTTTTTCTATTAGCTGTTAGGATTTAGTGTACATTTAGCTTTTTTTAGATTTTAGCTACTGCTATTCTTTTAGCTACTCTTCTGCTATTTTGTTTTTATCTGGTAATTTGCTACTTTTGATCTATTGCTACAATAACTACTTGTAGCTTTTAGCTAAACTTCAGCTACTTTTTGATATTTTTAGCTAGCTTGTAGCTAGTGTTTTTCTACTTTGTTTTTACCTAGGCGTTTGCTACTTTTTGTTAGCATTTAGCTATTTTAGTTCTAGTCTACCTTAGCTTTGCTAATTTTTAGCTAGTGTTTTGCTACTGTGTTTTTACCTGGTTTAGCTACATTTAGCTATTATAGCATTGGTCTACCCTTTGCTTTTTTTTTTTTTTTTTTTTTTTAGCTACTGATATTCTACTTTTATTTAATATTCTGATTTTACCTAGCTTTTTCCTACTTTTTGCTAGCATTTTGCTACAATTAACCTGTAGCTACTATTTTACTACTTTTAGCTACTTTTTGCTTTTATTATCTAGCATTTAGCAAGTGATTTGTTCATTTTATCTTTAACAATTCAGATTTTGCTTCTTCATGAGTCATTCAACATTCAAGCTGAACTTTTCATACTCCAGTTAATTCATGGAGACTATAAAACATTAATTATATAGAAAAAGTCCCACATTTTAAACAATTATCTTTTCTTTGCATCCTTATCTTTCAGTCTTTTTCCAAGTCTTTATGAAGATCTTACAGATGCTTTTATTTAATCCTGTAATCCTTGTTTCTTGCTGAATCATCAGGAGTTTCTTCACAGCAAAGACCTCCTGCATGGAAACATCCGAGCCCGCAACGTTCTGGTCAGTAAGCAGCTGACAGCGAAGCTCTGGGGTCTGCACGGGGTCTACACCAGGAAGGACCAGAAGGCCACTCAGAAGGAAGATCCCAGCATGAAGAAGTGGCAGGCTCCAGAAATGCTGGTCAAGAAACCTGCCACTCAGAGAAGTGATGTGTGAGTCTTAGTTTTTTATTCATACAACACCTATTTTGACAATTGAATCAAATTTATAGCCTCTAACAAATGTTGCTGCAGTTTAAAATCAATAGAAATATTTATTCAAGACATCAAAGTTTGTCAGCTGATGTTCTGTAACCTCTGTGTTCCTCCAGCTGGTCGTTTGGTGTTTTACTGTATGAAATGGCCACTTTGGGTAAGTCTGACTGCAATTTTGGTGAATAAACATCTGTTTAAAAACCTTTTATCAGGGACTTTGAAAATGAGCAAAAAATAAAATAAAATAAAAATTGGGGGGTGTGGGGGTAGAGGAGGTTTAACTGGCTTTCCCCCAATTGTTGTGCATTCAATTGACTAAATTAGTCCAAAAATAGGACCATCAGTCAACTTCTCAAAATGATTTGTTCTGACTCATCCAATCATCTACAAGTTTCTGTAATTTATTTAGTTGGAGTAAAAATTAGGAAAATTAAATTTTAGTCTCCTCAATAGCTTTTCTACTTATGACGTGTTTTTAACTGAGCTTTCAAAAATAAAATGTAAGTTTATCTTTAATAGAATTGTTTCTTTGTTTTATTCTCTTGCAGCCAATTATTTATCTTGTGTAGCATTGATGTTTTAAATATTAATCTATTCATTTATTACTAAAAATTGATTTCAGTGAAAAATTAAAACTAAAACTCCTGCATCTTTTTTTTTTATTGAAATGTGCCTATAATACATATTGTAAGGCTTTTGTTTGCCTGTTCTTGTATGATTCATACTTCTCTGCACCTGGTAGTTTTAATTATTATTCTTGTTTTTTTTTCCTGCTCTAGGTGAAGCTCCGTTTGCAGAAATTTCAGTTAACGAGCTCCTGCAGTTCCACCAACGAGGAAAAAGTCTGAAAAAGCCCTCCAACTGTTCCAACGCTCTGTGAGTGTCTGCTGCACGCTCCAGACAAAGTGAAAAAGTTCAGTCGTTACAGACTTTCCACTCTTTTATCTAAAAAAAAAACCTCTTTCTTCCACAGATATGCCCTCATTAAAGCCTGCTGCCAGTGGAAGGAACAAGATCGCCCCCTGCTGGCTGAAGTGAGCCAAAAACTTGTTTCGGGAGAAAAAAGTGCCTCAGACAGAGTCCTGAAAGCATCCGGGCCCATTAACGTGGAGCAGTACCTGCAGGAGGCGGGATACGGAGAAACCAACAGCTACACTGTTTTCTGATCCGTCCCTGTTTCTGCTGAAGAAGAAATATTTGCACTATGGTCTGAAAACCTGACGAGGAGCTTTTACAAGATGCATTAAACGTGTTCCTAAATTATTTTAAGTAATTCAAAGTTTAGATTTTCACAGCTAAGATGTAAAATGACCTGAAAACAATGTTCATGTATCTGTGTCAGCTGGAAAACTGATTATTTTAGGGTTCGTTTGGGAAATTAAAACATGTCGTCTTGGTGCACAGGCTCAAGATCTTGTAAAACTGACTTGTGAACTTTTCACATCATCAACCTGATGCTTAAACCATCCACATATGATGGTTTGCAAATCTTGTATAAAAAGAAGCCAAATAAGTAAGAAATTTACCATGTATGTTACCAAGATATTTGTATTAAATGAAGGAGCTATCATTGTGATTTAAAGCTGGTTTGCTCTTAAAGATCAGGTGGCTTGTATTCCTAAGATTAAGAAATGAGCTGAAACTGTTTACATAATATATAATATAATGTGAATAAAAACATGGAACTGCCACAAGGCTGGACCTTTTTCATTTTCAAGCTTTTTTTAGTGTTAGACAGTGGTGTACTGTAGCAACCAGTTAACCTAACATGCATGTCATTGATCTGTGGGAGGAAACTGGAGAGAACCTCACAGAAAGGCGATCCTGTGACCTCACTAAACGGTGACAGTTTGTACAGACAGGCAGCTGTAGTGCATTGGTTAAAAACGTTTGCAACAATTTCACTGTGTCGAAATATAATAAATACCTCATCTACAGATCGTTTCAATAAAACATCTAAAATAGAAAATATCTTTAAAGCCCCTTTTTGAGCTGTAGCTACAAAAAACATGATTTTGATTTTAAAAAAATCTTTTAACTTTTTGTCATTTTCTCAGTGAGTTTGCAAAGCCTTTATTTTTTCTTTCCAGCTGCTAAATTTTAATATCCAGATACTGTTTGAGGTTTCCTCTTTAAAATGAAAATATCAATATATATCAATTTTAAAAAACAATATATTGGTTGTCTTTCTTTTAATATTTAATATTTTATTCTGGTTTGGAGTGAGGACCAGCAAGCTGCAAGTGAGATCGATAATGAAGTGAAATAGCCAACAGTGTTCTGAACTCTGGATTTGGACACATTTTGGTTTTTTATAATTAAAAATATCTAATTTAATAATATTTTTGCCAATTTTGTTGAGTCACCAGCACTGGTAAATATGTAACTATCAAAATTGAATCAAATAGGGCTGCACTGTATCGAGAATCAAATTGCCATGTCCTGACACCCAGTTTGTTCACACTCAGATGTTGTCTCCATGTGTCCTGGTGATGGACTTCTGACTAGTCCAGGGTGTCCTTCACTTCTCCCAGTTACTGCTGGAGATCAGCATCAGCTAAATGTGACTTGGAAACAAGAAGCAGGTAAAGAAAATGGATTGGTAGGTGGATAGAAGAGCACTTATTCAATTCTAGTAACCTGCCATGTTTATTGAGTTTTGTGTACAGAGAGGAGCACTAAACAGCCCTTGAGAGATTAAAGCATGAGAAATACTGTTTTCGGGTGGATAAACCCATTAAAGCTACTAAAACTACATTCAATTCATAAAAAAATATTTCTGATTGTACTACAGTATAAAAAAGGAAAAAAGTATAAAACTAAATTTTCAATGAGTGTTAATGAGAACTAAAATACAACAATAAAAAACAGGCTTTTATGAGTGTCGTTTTAGATGTGATTGAAGCCTGGGTTAAACATCTATGACAAAAACATATAAAGGACTACAACACATAAATGTAACAAATATCACTTCAGACCATGACACTAAAGTTAAAGCATCGTTTGAAGGCAGTGTGTTTCTTTCTGCACCTGACAGCTGAACAGATTGAGCCAGAAGATGCATCTACATTCACAGTCTGCTCACAGGAACAGGATCCATCAGCGTGTCTCAGATTGACTAACAGTCCTCCTTTATTTGGATCAAAACATCCCACCATCTCCAAGAATTTCAGTTTTCAGAGTCCGAGTGTTCGTTTCATCGAGACGTCAGAGAGGACCAACAGGCCTTACTCGCGCAGACTGTTGATTGAGGCACAGATCTTGAGAGCCGGGCCCAGTTTAATATTCATGGTGGAAATCAGATGTTCCTCTCGCAGAAGCATCAGAGCCTGTCCGTCGATCTCCTGCGACAGAAACTGGGCAGCCAGCTCCTCACAACCTGCACAGACAAGAAGACACGATCAGCCGAGAGACTGACATGCTCTGAAACAACTTGAGATGGCGCCGGAGCCGACCTTGAAGCGAGGAGATGAACTTGCAGACTTCGTCCACGCTCCACTGAGCGGGCGTCGCAGACAGGAAGTTGGCGCCTTCTAGTGGAGCCGAGCTGTCGGACTGAGGGGCGCTGTGCTCGGCTCGGGAGCAGGAGCGCGAGGAGGAGGACGGGGACGGAGAAGGAGAATAGTCTTCCTCCTCTTCCCCTCCGTCGCTGGACATGTCTTCTGAGCGGCTGGACTCTGAGTTGCACTACATGGAGACAGCAGAGATTAAAACATGACGTCAAATATCAAAACGTTTCCCGCTGCATTCCTTATCGTGTGTGGAAATAAAATAGTTTGACAAATATTCCAGATCCACCAGGGTTTAGTTGTGAAGAAGATGGATTACTGTAAAATTCACAAGAAAACACATCTTGTTGTGCTGCAAACAATTCACCTAAAAAAATCAGTATCCAGCTCTGGAAGCAACAGGTTTGGTTCTGCTTTATTAATCTGATGGACTGCAGTTCTGGACAACACAGTATGTTAGTATTTTTCAGACAGCCTGTCTTATTTATGTGCAGGACTTCAAATGGCTCTCAGACAATTTACAGCATCCAGTTAGGAAACTGGAGCTTATTACAGAAATTGATAGAGTCAACAGCATTAAAGCTGTTCATTGCAAATCATAAAATCCAACAATACAAACGGTTCTCTTGGATTATATCTAAAGGTGCCGTTTGAAAAGGTTTACTCCTGTAGTTTTCTAGATACATTGATTTGTAATTCTGAAATGTGGGTACACAAGGGGCGGTGTCGTATTTTCCAGGCACTTAGTTCGGTTCTATACAACAATCAAGTATGTTACCTTCAGTTGTTATGAAAATGCTGTATATATCAAAAATGAATTTGACTTTGCATCATAGCCTATTTGGCTTCTGTCGTTGTAAGAACCTCCTACCATTTCTGACACTTCCACTTCAGCGTGTTTTCAAACAATGCTTTGTGGTAAGGGTGTTCTGTGGGGCAGGAGCTTGGCTGCAGACTGAGCTTCGGGGAGGAGCTTTGTGTAAATAGGTGGTCCTTTGTACCAACAAGTGTTTAGACAGCTCCACGTGACCACAGGACAGTCAAGGATTTCTCAAACATGCATGAAGGAGCCAAAACAACATTCAGGGTATGTTTTTGATGAGGGGATGACATTTTAACATGATATAAAACTCAAAAAGTTGATAATCACCCCCCAACCCTCCAAAAAAAAAGTAAATAAATCACCTGTCTGAATCTGACAAATGCCACACTGAAGCTCGAGTCACAGTCTGTGTAGGTGAACAAATTTGGTGAAAGTGGACAAGAATCTCAGAGAAGATTCTTCAGTTGTTTCTGCCTCCAAATTTGTTTTCAGTGTGCATTGCATTGGCAATGCACACTATTGTGATTCGTTTCCCATCCAAGTCAAGTCCACTTTGGCATGCTTCTCCTCCTGCATACTTTGTCCTAGAGCTGCCATTGTAATTTATATCTGTAAAGCGCCTGTGCTAAATGATGGCTATACTTTTTGGTGTCTGTACAACTTGTAGTTTTTGAAATATTAATGTTTAATAATTTATAATGTGAGTCAATGGAGCCTTGTATTGTTCCACTACTGCCCCCTGCTGTATCTACTCAGTACTGAACGATAGTTTAATAATATTTAATCTCAATAGTTCAGTGGTTACAATACTAATATGATTGTATTTTGGTGTTTTACTATAATGCCCTAATATTGCTCTATTGTTGTAATATATTGCAATTTAGTGTCAACAATTTCATTGGCGATGTGGCCTCTTTCTGCACACATACAAACCAAACCCTGGCAATGCCCTCCGCCACAGCTCAAATGGTCTAATGGTTAACTTTATGGACTTTCATGTGGGAGAGCAGGGTTCAAAACCCAACTACTGCAACTTTAACAAAAAATCTCTACAAATATCATATTGTCACACAATTATCCTCATTACAAACACCTGCTGACTTGACAAGCACAAGCTGGTATAGAAAACGCATTTGAACTTGGTCACAGTTCATTCTGGAAGTCCACTGCTGCAGGTAAAGACATGCTACATGGCAATGCACACTTGTTTTTACATCGTAAAAACCCATGTCTAGTTGTTTCTTCCTTTCTGATTATTTTTTCCTGGTCTTCATAACATTGCAATGAGTGCCTTTAGGAAACATGTTTGATTAAAAAGAGACCAAGTGAAAAGACATCAACTCTTTGGGATTTGTTGATGAGAGTTTAAACACAAACCTTGACAGAACGGTGCTTGTTGGATATTCTACTGTAGGCAGTATCAGAGCTGCTCTTGCGGGAAGAACCCTTGCGCCGTGCTGAGCTCTCTGTGGCCGCTGGGCGTGGCGACAGCCCTGCACCACTCCGCCCTCTGCTGGTCTTGTAGTGCTGGCTGCAGCTTACATTATACCTGGAAGTGAAGGGACTTCTCTTGAATGATTCTAATAATGCCTCTGTTTTAACATTTTGACTTTTGCTGCAACTGATTAGACACAAAACAAATCTGAGGAAACCGTAATGACAAACAAATCAAGTGCAACTCAAATCAAAAACACAGTTTTCTTGCTTTAATCAAATGAAACAGGGCTTCAGTAAACCTGCGCAAAACAACCAAAAGTTGTGTTTTTTAAATAATACTAAATTTAAAAGTTTCATTGTAAAGAAAGCCATACCTTTTAGCACAAGTATTAGAACAGAACCTCTTCGATCCCCTGAACTGGTTGGCTGGTGCAATGCATCCACAGTACTCACATTTTAACACTGAACAAAACAAAACAAAACAAAAAACCACAATCAAAGCTCTGACACAAAAATGCATGTTGTTTAGGAGTTATCACACTTAATGAATAAAAGAAACCCCTCTACTTACATGGGGGTCCATTCTCTGTGCGGCCAACCAAGGCAAAATCTCTGTCTTTGAGGAAGCCAGCGACCTGAGACATCAAACACAAGATCAAAGCTAAGATGCTGTTCAGAAGCCATCATTCAGTTTAATACTTTTAACTTCTGTGAAACGATGGAAGTACAGTATGCCCTTACAGGGAAGGGTTCAGCTCCTTCTTGAATCACAAATCCCTCGATGAGGTGAGTGAGAACCTGAGGTTTGACCACCGCCTGGGGAACTGGCACCCTGTCTTTGTCCCCGTGTCCAACTCTAGACAAAGGTGGAGGCAGAGAGAGGGTCGGAGGAGACGAGAATATAGATTCCATCAGAGGAGCTGCAGAAACAAAGTGAGTTTATTAGATTTGTAACTATTTCCCAGAGCTACAGTTAGAATTGTCAAACTCATGTGGAAGTAGTTTTTGGCTTGATTTGAAGTTGACCCACCTGAGTCCTTTGTGGGGGCTGGAGATAAAGGAGGAGCACAGTCTTTCATGGGTGCTGGATTAGATTCTGCCGTGTCATTTGTTGCGTCACAGTCAGATTTTCTCTTCAAAGAGCCAACAATTGGTTTGGTCTAAAAATATGTGGAGAATAATATACATGCATTGGTACAAACCCTTCCAGAGTGACACGAAGACCACCTGAGCTCTGTAATCTGATCTTACCACAGCTGTATTGCTGTTGGAGACTGAGGTAACGGTCCCACCAGACGGACTCTCCTGGGCCGCGCCGCTTCGTGTTTGGGTCAGAGCCACAGCTTGTGCGTTTCCTGCCAAGCCTTGCCTGGCTCCCACCAGCTGTACGGGGATGCGGGGAGGGTTGTGGCCCCCCATGGTAGACTGACTGTTGCACGGTGGAGCTGGGAGAATGGGAGGTGGGTTTCGGGGGGACAGCTGAATGGGTAAGCGGTGTCCCTGAGCGGTCTTGGGTTGGATTGGAACAGGACCTTTCTCCATGTTAGCGCTGGCCTGTTGCACGGGGTGCACCACCAGAGTCTGAGTGTTCATGTTGGCCTTTGGAGCCACCGAGCCGATGGGATAGCCCTGGGTGGAGGTCGTGACGTTAGACGAGGGCACCAAGATGACGGGAGCAGCAGAGGTGCTCAGGAGGAGCTGCGACAGAGGGAGCGCAGGAGAGGAGGAGGACGACGAAGGAGCGACAGAGGCAGCAGGAGTGACAGTCATGGAAGGCTGGTTTCCTGCCTTCACAGCTATCGAGCTAGCAGCAGGCTGTTGATTAAAGGTTTTGGCCATCTGTTGCTGCTGTTGAGCTGTTTGGGAGAAAGTCTGTTGCTGCTGACAGAGAGAAAAACCAGCAGCATCTTTCCGATCTAAAATTTCAGATTTGACAGCAGCTGCTTTGGGAGTGGAAGCACAGTGTAGAGCGAGGTTCTGCACCTAGGAAATAATAATAATAATAATACATAAAAGGAACATTTTTTTGATGAATTAAGCCTTGGAGCAGTATGAGTAGTGTGAGTGAGGAAGACAGAAGGGTGATGCACCACTGCCTCCAACTGCACAAGTGTTAAAAATGTTGTAGTCAAACCTGATCACTGTCAGAGTGGACACTTGCAGAGGTGGCAGCAGATTCATGCTGCTGCTGCTGCTGTGGTTGTGCTTGAGCAACAGCTGCCACAGTAGCTGTTGTCCCACCAGGCATGAAAATGAGCTGAGAGGCAAGCGGAGCTCTAAGAGAGCGGTTGACCTAAGAAAAGAGCAGCACAGATTAATTTAATCTGAGTCGACAGCCCAGCTCCTTACACCTGATTATTACACAGTGCTGATATTTTATAGAAAATTAATCCAGAGCTTTTTCTCACAGCTGTGATTTTGACACTAACACTTTTGGCCTATGCTAACCAACAACCGTAGTTGTATTTTTCACACTGGAGTTGGAGGAGGAAAGGTTTTTCTTTATTTGTTTTATTTCTTTTTAACTGCAGAGATGAAACTAAGATGTGGACCTTGGTTTGCTCAAAAGTCTCATAAGTTGCTAATTTAACACATGCATGTAGTTTCCACTAACAGGAAATATTAATCCAAATGTTGTATTTATTATGAACTCACTCTGAGATACATCTGCCCCTGTCCTGCTGAGTTTCCACCTAGTAGCACCGACTGATTTAGAGCTGTTGTTGCTGCAGAGGTAACTGGACCGTGTGGACGAGGACTAGTCATCGTACCACCTGCAGATGTAGTGCTTAGGTTGACCTGCAGAAATAATAATAAAAAAATAGTTTTTGTAGCTAATACAATCGATAAACTGCTTGAAAAAGATCACTCGTTGCATCATTTACCAGTAGATAAACTTACAGTGGTGGGAACTTGGGACATGCTGTGACTTGATGTATTGGACTGGCGACTAGCTGCGAGCGTGGCCTGATGTAACAAATGAAATGAAAGATTAGAGACTTCACAGGTTTGTGTTTCTGCTTTGGGTAGAAGTTGTTGTTGTATTTTTGGTCACCTGTTGCACCGCAGCCAAGGTGTTGAGCTGGACACTGTTGAACTGCTGCTGCAACATAAGCTGCTGAAAGTACTGAGCTGCATTAGGCTGTCTCTGCAGCGCCTGGAGAGCCTGCACAGCTTGCCTTTCACATAAAGACATGTGGGCTATTTGCGGGGGTCGGGAGTTCCCAGTCGTCTGAGGATTTCCGTTGGTGCCGTTTGCATTTTGGTCTTCACTTGCATCCATGTTTCTTGCTCTAAACAACAAGTTGTATCATAGCAAATGCTGAAATTAAGAAATTGTAAAAAGATCCTTTTCAATTTAAAGGCAGTAGCACATAAAAAAAAATGTTGGGACAATATCATGCTTAGCACTGTGAAGCACCCAACTTCTTTTAACAAGTCTGTAAACGTCTAGGTCTAGAGGAGACCAGCTGATGTTGTTTGAAGGGTAAACTTGTCTTATTCAGACGTTCAATCCTAGTCTTTGCATGACAGAACTTTGGCTTAACTAAAATAAATTACACTAGTTTTTATTACTTCAAATGTTTTGTTTCAAGTTTAGGAAAACCTGGTGTTAAACTTTTAGGGTTTTATTAAAAACTTTAACAGAGATGATGCTGATGTTGTTGTTGATACTTCATCTTGGCCAGTGAACAAAGGTACATTTAGGCTTTTACATCGCCGCCACGACCAATATCAAAGTTTTAAAAAAAGTAAATGAATTAACAATATGCAGCAGCATTTGGGTATTTTCATTAGTTAAGCAGCTGTCAACACGATGAGTTGATTATTCAGAGAAAAGTTCGAAGCATCAACTAAACGAGACTTTTTCACTTCGGTGGCTAACTGTGTTGCTACCAGTGTTGCTACTCATTAACAAACACTTCAACCAGTAAGCAGGTAGGGCTGTTGCGGGGTAAACAGTGGTTGCAGTAATGTTTTTAGGTGAAAACGTTAAACAGCTGACACAACAAAAGAAACTGTATAACTAAGTTTTAAACAGGCTAACTACTTAGCAACATTAGCTGCTTTCTACAGACAGAAAACTACCAATTGTAACCCTTATAACACGCCAGTATATTTTGTTTTAGTTACGTGCTTACCACTTTTTGGTTCTGCCTGTCCTTTTCACGGTTAAAATAAATGTATTTACTTCGGTGGTCTTGTTTTTGTTACTGGGAACGATACTTGGGTGAAGATTTTCACTGCAGTGAAACCCCGCCCCCTTTTTTTGTTGGTGCTCTTTCGCTGGAGAGAGGTAGGGGGCGCTATTGCAAAAATAAGCTTCGGAAAGAGAAAAATGACCGAGCTGGTGCTGTGCCGAGGTTCGTACAATCGGAAGAATCAGTGCCTCCTGTCTCTGCAGCTACTAACCAGGCAGGAAAAACGGGTCTAAATTACAACTTCATTCAAATAAACCTCGAAATTGTTAAAGGTTTTAATTTAGTGTGTGTGTGTGTGATTTTATTGTTGAGCTTATCGGTTCTGACATTCCTGCTTTGTGCGCCCTCCCGAGACAGGGACAACAAATTATTTCAGGGTTACTTACCTCAACAAAACACCAGAAGTGAAAGGCTTTGAACTGTGGCTTTAAGTGTAATTTCAAAATAAACAAAAGCCTCTCGAACATCGAATATTTCCTGAATAAAACATTGAACTTTTTTTAAACTAAGCACATATTTAGCAAGTAATATATTTTTTACAAAGTTTAATTATTATTATTGATCATAGGTTCGTGATTTAGACCACTGCAGCACATTTCAAAGATAAAAAAGTTGCCCTTTAGCCATATCATTACCACCCAAAATGTTAAATAAAATTGCCTACATATTTCAATAATGTCAAAAATGATTTTAGCTGTCTGTACTGATCAAAATCTGCATAGAAAAGCAAAACATAGTTAGGAATACATTGAAAAACAGCAGTTAAGTGCCTTACAGAGAATTTTATTGTATTTAATTGTATTTATTTTTGAGGTATCTGTTGTAATAAGAAAAGATACAGTATATAGGTACAGTTTCAGAAACCATTATTAAATATGTTGTTTTTATTTGACCAAAAATGAGAAGGCAGTGTAAATGTGCACGTTTTGCTAGACGATTGATATTTTTTGAAAAATCTTTGCATGCATTAAGTATTCTAGAAGGCATAAAATTTAATTTTTGAAATAATTTTACACAGCAGTAAAATTATATAAATAATAAGTATGGTCAAATGTGAAAATCATAAACCCATGCTTTTAGTCAGCAGCTAAATGTACACAATGAGTTTTATGGTTTATTAGAATCAAAAAAGCAAACAGGAAAGTCCATGATTTGAAAATTTAAGTCAAATACCTGTGTTTTTGTCTGAAGTCCTGAGATGCATGCCATTACTATATATTTTATTTCTGAGATTTAAATAATAATAATAATAACTACTTGGTCCTAAGAGTATCAACATTGTGCATATTGTGTTATGAAAAACAAAAAACAACTTGAAAAACTGGACCCTAGATCTGAAAAAAAAAAAAAAAGTTCTTCAGAAACATAATTTAACCTTCAGTTTTTGGATGCTTATTTATGATGTAACAAGTCAAAATGGTTTATGCAAATCTGCAAAGAATGGCAAGGTCCTAACAAGCAAGAAAATCTAAATAAAAAAAAGAAGCCACCCCCACACACACACAAAAAAAAAAAAAGAAAGAAAAAAGATAGGTAGAAAAAAAAAGAAAAAGTCCAAGAACAGAGACCATTTCACTTTTTTGTAAAGTTTTGCTCCTTAGAAGTAACATATAATACATACAAAATCAGAGCTAGCTCAAAACTTCTGCACTCTCACAAACTTGGACACATTTTTATTCACTTAAAGCAAACGAGAGCATTCCCACCACATAATGCAGTTGATTATTTCATAAACTAAGCAAAAAAAAAAAAGTCAACTTTAGTAAACATAAATGATGGTGATGAAAAAAGAAAAAACCTTTCAACTAATCAATACAGAAAAAAACTCAGTAAAACAAGAACTTTTCCCCATCAAACTCAAAAATGCAGTTCAGTCCTTTCAAATACTTACATTTAGATTTATGTAAAACTACTTTAACTCATAGGAACCGTTTCTTCAAATCTAACACTTTGCAACTATGGCATAATAACACAGAGGGAGTATAAGAAGTACTGTCACCGTTTTACAAGAAAAATGACACAGCAACTGGAAATCAGGATTAAGTGTTTTCTACAGGAAATAAAGTTGGTTTATGTGCCACAGTTTCACAAGTTTGGGTCAGAGCAGCATGTATTTACTCCTCTGTTCATTATTACACAGCTGAAGAATCAGAACCATTGGTGTGCTGCAGTTGATGCTCAATTCTTTGAGCAAAATACAAATTTATACAACATATCACATTTTTATGAAGGATCTGTGAATAGAAAAATCACATGAAAAGAAAATTGCTTTAAACTGAGGATTGTTGCTTTGTTTTTAACGTTCAAAGTGTGCCGGTAAGAGGATAGATGAGTTCTGTAATGGTTTAAGAGGAAAACTAGAAACATTTAAAAGAAATAATGTAGAGGGATGAGGAAAAAATTAACTTAAGCTTTGGTTTTTGCAGCTCTTCCTACTTGTGCAACAAGGCTGTAAGTGCAGCCCACTGTACTTAGAATGAATCTTTATACATTCATAGATCTATCTAAACAAAACAAAAAGACTAAAGCTGATGTTCACCAGCAAAAAACACTTGGGTGTTATGTAACCTGCAGCAAGCAATTCTTCAGTGCAGACAGCTTTAAGCAATCAACACAAACACAAAACAACCATCGTTGGAAGCAGAAAGAGAGGAACAAGCATAACTGATTTTTATGTTGCAAAAAAAAATCATATAATTCCTCCTTTTTTGCCAAATGTTTATGAAATAATTCTGTGTTCCCTCAAATTTTAATTAAATCACTAATTTGTTTGAAGTCAAACATAAATGTAATGTTTTGGGTAAGAGGAGTGACAAGTCTGCTCTGTATGGATAAAGCCATCCTTCTATAGCAGTGGTGCCAAACGTTCCCCTGCTCTTCTGCAGGTCTTCCCGTTCTGCAGATGCCTGCTAATCACATTCATTCAAATCAAGTGTCTCAAAGCAGAGAAACATCTAAAACATGCAGGATGATGGCCCTCCAGGATCAAAACTGAGCACCACTGTTCTACAGGTGTATGTACAACACAAACAGCAAGTGACCTTCATTAGGTAAAGAAAACAGACGAGTGAACTAGTAACTTTGTCAAAAGCTTTAAAAAGAGTAATCAGTATCACGCAGTGAAAAGTTCGGTCTAGTTTGCGACATACTGAGGTCACATAGGTAGTAAGTGGTCGTCTCTCTCCTCTGGTTCCTCCTCTAAAGGTTCTGTGGTCACTCCTCTGGAACCTGGAGAGGCCTCTCGGTTTTTTGACCGGCACACAAAGTCACAGCCATCCTGGAAGAAAGGAATACAGTTCATCAGGGTTTATTAATAAAAAAAAATGAATATACTTCTACTTTATTTCTTAGCAATTAGATTAAAATTACCGCTGTTAGGTTTCCAACTTCCACCCAAAAAGCATAATTTGGGAATTGCTCCATCCCTTTTGCTCTGACGATCAGCCGCTGGTAGAGGAAACCTCCAATGAGGTAAACAGCCATGAGGCAGAAACCGCTAAAAAAGAAAAGAAAAAGAAAAAAAGCTAATGATCACGACTCTTTTTTTAAAACTGCACCATGCGGTCTCATTACAGACTATCTTTACGTACATAATGAGTATTATGGAGCCAGCACTGAGCTGGGACTGAACAGCAGGACAGACTGCGCTGGAGTCCAGCTCGAAAAGATAAAAACAGTCGTGCTCTCTCTCTCTGTCCTCCAAGATGACTTTAAAGTTACCCTAAGAGCAAGACAAAAAACACAAAAGCTTAAAAAATAAACACGTACAAGGAAGAACATTCTAAAATAAATTAAAGAAAGCATTTATGAAACAGGAGAAGCTCGAAACTGTGATTTAAAATAGAATAATGTTAATTCTGAACTTGGGTTCGTAGGAAACTACTCATAAGACAGAAAGTGACAAGTGGGAATGAGCATGTCAGAGCATGTTTCTCACTGACTATCTGCTTTGTTGTGAGTCACAGTATAATTCCTGATTTCTGATGAGCATTAAATAGAAAGTTCAGATCTTACGAAGGGAGGTTCTGCAGAAATGTTAGGAACAACTAATAATTATCCTGCTGCCGATAAGCCGGTGACGTAAAAGTCAACAAAATAGAGTTTGCATAAAGCTGTATGATTTTATTTTAAAGATGGGAGTTGTTTAAGACCGCAGCAGATTTTGACTTAATTACTAGCTCAATAATCTGGTTCGAATTAAACTATTTCTCCAAATCGAGGTTGCTCAAATAGCTATCTACAACAAGCAAGACGTTTTTTTAAGCTTTCCAATAAAACCCTACATATAAATATCTGAATTACACCTTTAAGAGTTAGAAAACATGACTCAGAGAGGTAACCTGGATTATATTTCATCTTCACAGACCTGAATCAACATGTATGTTTTTGCCTTTCAAATTTCCCAATAATATTTTAAACAAATGTGGTGAAGTGAAAATTGTGTGCATTTGTTTTTTTTAATTATTTTACCATGTCGACATTCTTGTCGCAGGAGATCATGACCATAGCTGTCCGGTTTTTCTGGCTACAGTGATGGTCATATTTGTCACCTCCATCGTATATCAACATCACCCAATCGCCTGAAAGGGCAGTAAAAAAATATGTCAAAACAGACCCCTAGATCAATTATAAACTTTAAATGTTGACGATACGTCTACAAACTTGATCTAATTTTGTTATGTTCGGGTATGTTTTACAGAGACTCACTGCCTCCTACGGCCTTCGTTAAGGTATATAATCCGATTTTTTTTATCTTCTTGTCCTTCTTGTTCACTTGAATAGCTCCAGCTTGTGGAACACCCCCTGCATCTCCGCACAACTGGAACACATACGTGTAACTGTCCTCCCCTTCTGTTTGGTCGAATGTAAAGCTGTCCACATGAGGATACATTCCAGTTAACATTTAACCCAAGGTTAAAAATGCAGAGAAAAACACCTGATAGCATTTAAGCAGAAATGATGGGTCATGGTTTGATTTCATGATGAACTGTTACTATGAACGGCCTTGGACAGGAAGATATAAGACTCTGAAATTTCTTACTTCTTGTTGACAAGTGGTTCGAGTCGATCAAGGACTTTTCTTTCTGACTGGCTTTCGTGTATGAGTTTGCAGGCCTTGGTGCCGTTACCGGCAAACACGCAGCTCCTGCACAGCACCAGCAGAACCATGAAGGTCTGCAGCGTGATGTGACATTGTCTGGGAACACTGAACAGCTGGATAAAAAAATAGTTGGGAGGGTGGGACATTATGAAAAAAACAGCAACAAACCATCACAGATATAACTCAGTTATATCAAATAATATTTCACACCCAGGTAGAAGAAAATCAACATCAGTTATATGAAGGATCTTGAAGGAAGTTGTTAGTCTATATTGCTCCTTTGCATGTAAAGCTGAACAATACTAAGGTTTAGACAGCTGACTGAACAAACAGGGAACTTTAATCATCCATTCATTCTAATCTCTGGGAAGTTACAATAGGAAACCCATGGCTAGATATATCAGAATAAAATCCACGGTGATTATTGTGTTTCCTAAAGTGTTTGTTAGAGTATAATCTGGATTAGTAGACATGGCTGGATATTTGCATCAATGTGTTACTTTTTAAATGCTTTCAGATTATTGCATACATGAAGTGTTTCTCAACAGATTCTACAACAACATTCAATTTAAATTATGTATAATTTAAGTATAAAAGATCCGAGTCATTTTAAGATTAAACAGGTACAAATCAAGCAGTCCTTTTGTGACTTCTTCAACACAAAACAAATCACATTCATCCTTAAAATTACAAAATACATATCCCAACTAGTCATGTGAAAAAAAGGAACTACGACATATCTAAAGATCTTTTTTGCAGACAAAATGTCTGGTTTTCGCCACAAAGAAAACAAGCTGTTTTTTGTAAGGAGTCATAATTAGTTACACTTTGAAAAACTTTAACGTTTGCTAATACCGCACACCTACCTGCATGACTTATTTTACTGTAAATGAGTGGAAAGTCGTCCCTTTGGCTTTGTAAACGTTTAATACCAACTGTCTGCAGTGTAGCCAAACAGATAAGTAGCAGACGATGATGACTCTTAACACGACGCTAATGTTGCTTCCTGGTTGACTTAACTAGCATCAAAACCAAAGTTTTTTTTTACGCAGAAAAAAAATAAATCCGCGTCAAGGACAGAAAAATAAATCGAGAGTTTATTTGTTTTTTCTGTCCCGGATAATTAAGAGGCTTCCTATGAAGCCGTGTTAAGTTCTATTTCAGATGCTAATATGCTACAGATACATGAGCGGACTGCGGAAGTGAAACTAAACAGAAGCACGCGCATCTGACCAAGCAGAGCTTGACCAATCAGCGGCGGCTGAATCGCACTTTTGCGTCATGTGACCAGAAATAGCTACAGGTGGACATGATGCCTTTTTGGGCACGACACCATGTGGGGAAAAAAAAATCTAGAAAATTGGTATTTTTTTTCCTGGCACGTCGTTGACAAGACAAGCGTTGTCCGCCACTTTTATTTAGTGAAAATACTTTCTGGTCGCATCATTTTTGTTTTTATTCACTTTTCGTTGAAGTAAGTAAATTCTTTGAGATCAATCACATCAAATTCACAAAAAACAATCCAGAGCTAGGTAGGTACCTCCTCGCCTTACTGACTTCAGAAAACCCGAAAAATAAATTTGAACACGTCTTAATATAATTAAATTGGTTCTACATATTTCAATCACATTACAAGCCCCACAAAGTAAATTTCACTGTGCTGCATCAGCACCTGTCACTGTGAGCAAAGCTTGTTTTCTAGACGTGTGTGGCTCCAGTTAATCATCAGTGGATCTGAATGGTAAACAACCTTTAATCTGTTTGTTTTTAATCAAGTTGGTGCTTCTAAAACAATGCTCCACTCTACGTGTGCACCCAGTTTGCAAACTAGATCAACACAAATTGATAAGATTACTGAAATCTGAGAGATTTATTCAACCTGGAGAGCCCTTAGTGTTTGATAATACTTATGTATTGTCAGCACTTACTAATGCAATTTGTCTCAAATGTTGAGTCATCAAATAGTGCTAATGAAAGTCTTATGATTACAAACTTAAATGAAAATTTCTAGTCATACAGCTGCCTAACACTGACACATAATACAAAACATACCTTTGAAAGGAAAAAAATAGCATAAAGAGTTTATCTATTGCAACAAATATTAATTGATTGCAATATTTTACTGAACATAATTATGCCACAATTTAGTAGAAAATGCGATTTATTTATACCGTCAGTTATTTAAAAAAAGGTGATCTCAGTTAAAAACCCTAACACGCTGCAATGTTTTAGGCAACTTAGTCAATGAATGAAAAAAGTTTGTTTTTGGTGTAAGTTTTGAATAAGTTTCCAGAACACACACACACACACACACACACACAC